AGCAGGAAAGTAGTCAGGAAGACAAAAGACAGTGCAAGGCAACAAAACAAATGTTGTCTGAGCCAAGTCAGCCAAGGAAAAGCATGGAATGCAGTTGGAGCACACTGTATCTTCCTTCATCACTGCCCTGTGAGTTAGAGGCTTGTTAAAACACCCAAAACAAAGCCTGGAAGAGAATCTGCAAAATCCTGTCCTGGGGGGGAAGAGGGAGGCAGTCAGAGACATGACACTGACACATTCTTCCGAGGGTTCTGGGGAGATCTCCATCCTGCTGCTGTGCTCATTGATAAAACAGCCATTCTTTTCTGCAAGGAACAGAGTATCCCCAGGCCTCTATTCAGCACCAGACCACACGTGGGAGGAATGCATAACCAGCACGGATGGGGCACAGCCACGAGGTCACTGGTGAGGTAGGCAGACAGCTACAGCTACAGCTACAGCTACAGCTCAACACAGGCCTTGGCACCAGAAGGGAACAAAAGGGGCTGCAAAACACAGCAGGGAAGTGAGGAATGGATGGATTTCACCAGCATTTAAGGGGCAGAGATGTTAGACATGACCCAAAATGCAGAGATGCTCAGATGGGAGCGTTGTGGGTCTGCTGGGGACTCAGGTCTTGCAGGGGTAACCCCAGTGGTGACATTGTGCCCAGCCAGAATCAGCTCTTCAGGTGAAGCAACCTGCTCTGGTGGGAGGTACCCCTGCCCAGGGCAGGGGTTGGGGCTGGGTGATTTGTAGGGTCCATTCCAACCCCTAAAATTCTGTGATTCTGTGATTCAGCACCAGAAGTAACACATTTGAGCACAATGCAGAAAAACTGGGACCAGTGGGGAAAACATTACTGGGGGCAGGCTGTTTATGACAGGAGAGACAAGGGCAGAGACAAGGGCAGGGACAGGGAGGGATCACAACGGCTGGGGATGGACATCAGCCACGAGGGACAGCACCAACCCACCACCCCGCCCAAGCAGTGGCTTTTCTGCCTCATCCCCAGACATGTTCCAGGCCAGGCTGGACAGGGCTTGGAGCAGCCTGGGCTGGTGGAAGGTGTCCCTGTCCTCACAGAGAATCCAAGTGCTGTGCAAGATCTGGATTTGAGAACTCCAGCTGGTTACTCCCCCCTCAAAGGTTCCACAGACAGGAGAGAGGGAAGGCCCAAACTGGTGTCCCAGAATCCTGACAGAGCTCTGCTGCTGGAGCCAGGCTCTCCACAGCCCCAGTGCCACGGGGGCAGGGAGCAGGGCAGCACTTTGAGCAGGTTGGGACAGACCCTTTGGCTCACCACAGACCCTAAGCACACTGAACTGGTCACCGGCAGGATCCAGGCTCCTTACCTGGGCTTCCACCAGGTACCCCGCATCACGGCCCTGGTCCAGACCAGTCTTCACAACCTAGGCCAAGAACAAGAGCCATCACTGCCCAGCCAGGTCCGACACCACCTACACTTTAACAACACCTCCTGCTGTCTGCAGTGCTCCCTCCCCAGCACACCCTGCAGGCTCTGTGGGTCCTGCCCTCCCTGCCCAAAGCACAGCTGTGGATCCCCTGGTCCCTCGGGACAGGTGAGGAGCTTCCCAGCAGGTTAGCTTTTAGCCACCCCTTGTGGCCTCAGGAGCTCTGCTCCTGCCATGTCACTGCTCTCAGCCACAGCAGGTGCTCACAGGTCTTAGAGAAGCCTTGGCAGCTTAGATAGTGAAAAGTCGTTCAGCAGCAAGGATTCCATCCCAGAGTGTCTGTACAGGATGTGTGTGCAACCCAGGGCACTAACTCTGAAAGTCTGGTGTGGTTAGTGCTATGCAAACAGCAATTTCTCTGTTCGAAACTTCAAACAGGTCCCATGAACTCTCTAGAGGCTGTACAGGAAACCTGGAAAACTGAAAGCTTCATGGGCAAAATATTCCACCTAAGCCTTCCCTGCACTGGGATCTCTGCTCTGCCCTCGCTGGTACCAGTACATGAATTAGTGACCACATTTTGGGAAGCTGTTCTGAATTTTACCATTGGCTCAGTCACCACACAGCTGCACTTGTTAGGGGAAGGAACTACCTTCCCTCTACCTGTCCCATGTGTCCCACACACTCAGAGTGGCTCCCACTGCCTGTCCCATGTGTCCCAGCACCTCCAGAGTGGCTCCCTCTGCCTGTCCCATGCTGTCCCCACACACCCAGCACCTCCAGAGTGGTTCCCCACACCTGGCAGTGGGATTACCTCGATGATCTTCAGCGGAGCAGGGTAGAGTCCTTTGGTTTGTTTCTGAACTTTGCTCTCCACTGTCTTGTAAACTTGCTGCCTCACAAAGGGAAGAGCCATGGCATAGTCTGTTATCTCTGCAAGGTGGGACAAAACAGGGCTCAGCACAGTGCTGTGTGCACAACCAGTGATCAGCTGGGAAGTCAGGGGAACATAAATGGGAATGCTGTCTATCTGGAACAGAAGGGTGCCCTGAGCCCCAGCCACGGGGAGCAGGGGCTGCTCATGGGCGTTCCATGGCCTATTCCTGGCCCAAGTCTCATCTAGGGCTGAAGTATCCTCCTAAAACAGCCTGAGCCCTAGGAGCAGAACTCCCACCAAGATGTCACCACTTCTGGGCTCTGCTAGCAAGGATCAGACTCATGTGCCTCTTCCCACCTGGCCACACAGGCTTGGTACAGAGCTTCCTACTAAATCTGTGAGGATGGACAGCCCCTGGAGGTAGCTGCTCCCTCTCTCCCAGAGGCCTGGCTCCCTTACAGCTCAGGAACCACCAGGTACAGCTCTGCCAAAGCCCAGACCTGCAGAGCAATGTTTTTTCCCATCTAGCTCAAGAGAGGATTCCAACATGGAATAAATTCATTTGAAAGTGGAATTCAGTAGGAGCATGAACACACCCTGGAGAAGCCAAGCTGGATTGTACTCACTGCAGTCCCCTGGGATTTGCCCACAGACTTACTCTGCACCAGCCCTTTGGACTTCTTGGCAGACACAGTCTTATTGGCCAGTCCTCTGGCAAAGCTGATGGCCACCTCCTCCAGGTACTCCATGGTTCGTGCTTCGGGGGTCTTCACTCCTGGCCCTGAGAAGAACAAACACAGCAGCAGTTATCCCCGGGGATGCAGGGAAGCCAGGACCAGGCAGCAGGGTGATGGGCCATTCCCTGACCGGTTGAACTTCGCTTGGTTATGACCAACATGGAAAGACTCAGCAGGGGCTAGATGAAGGCCCCAAGGGATTTATATACATGGCACTATACAGAAATGCTGGAATGCCAAATCCCAGTGGGAGCAGGGCCGAGTTCAAAGTCAAATCCAGCTCTGCAATTAGAGCAGGCTGCTCAGGAACACGTTCTGCCAGTCTCTGAACAGGTATCAGCGAGCACAACTCTCTACCAACACTGCAGTCAGACAAACAGACAGCACTGGGGAAGTTCTGTGTCCCTGAGAGTTACCTGTGCTGGAGCCAGTGTCTAACAAACCTCAACCTTTGCACTCAGGTGCAGGAAACCTCTCACTTGCTTTAGCTCCTGCAACACCCAGGAACACCTGACCTAACTTGAAGCAAGACACCACAAAAACAGCTTCAGCAATCTCTGGGGGTGGTTGCACAATTTCCAAGTGCAGGGATGCTCCTCATTGCCAGACAGTTGTATCATCACTGCAGGAGGACACAGCACAGGAGTGAAACTGCCAGGGGCAAGCACAGAGTCACTGCTGAGGGAGTAATGCCCAGTGAGGCTGCACAGGGCCACCAGACCCTGCAGCTAAGGGTGCAGCCCTAGGCTGTCTCTGAACTCGCTGGACACACCTGATGAGGTCACAACTCTGTATTTTTGCAGCTGGACAACAACCTCAGCCACCATCACTACAAACTGCTGCAAGCACATCCAGAGCCTGTGACTGCACAGAGTCCTGAGCTCGGGGAACACCCACGGCCACTCCCTGACACAGGAGACAGGAGAAACCAAAGGCAAGACAGAAACCCCCTCCTGTTTCATCTCCCACTGCTCTCCCCCTCCACAAAAAGTTAAGGGCTTCAGCTTTGAGGTTCAGAGTCCCAGACTGGTTTGGGTTGGAACGTAAAGCTCATCCAGCTCCATCCCCTGCCAGGGGCACCTTCCACCGGCTCAGTACTCCCAACACTTTGTAGTGTCCTAACGAGAAGCTCCAAGCTGTCCATTCCCATCTGCTTTGTGATATAAATGGCACATGCCACGACTGTATCTGTGCACAGCAGTAAATGCACCCAGGGAATGCTGCAGAGCTCCCTGTGAAGGAGAGCTGAGTGCACCCTGTGAAACTGCCTCCTGACTAATGAATGCTGTCTGTGGCCTTTGAGGCTTCCCACAACCAAAGCATCACCCCAGGCAGAGCTGCTTTCCCCCAGCCAGTGAAGGTGAGCCCTGCACAGACACTCCTGGCACTGCTGCTGTTTAGATGGACAAGGGAAGCCTCCAGTGTTTGCAGATTATTTGGTGCTTGTGTTGCTCCTCCGTGCTCAGCTGGGCTGAGCCAGGATTCACAACAGTTCCCCAGAGAGCTCAGAGCTGGGCTGAGCCAGGATTCACAACAGCTCCCCAGAGAGCTCATGGTTCCCTGGAGCCAGCCAGGGAGACTGCTGCTATCAAAAGGCAATTCACATCTCAGCAAGTGTGAAGTGGGAAAGTTTGTCTACGCAATTCTAACTCCAGCCTGGGAACCACAGATCTGCTCCATAAGCAACAGCACAGCTAAGGATATCTGTGCCCTGGGCTCATCCCACAGCAGTGAGGGGATTGTGTCCCTCTGCCCTGCTCAGGTGAGACCCACCTGCAGTGCTGCCCCCAGCTCTGGGCACCAGCAGCAGGAGGATGTGGAGCTGCTGGAGAGTCCAGAGGAGGCACCAAGGTGATCAGAGGGCTGAGGCATCTCTGCCATGGGGAAAGGCTGAGAGAGTTGGGATTGCTCAGCCTAGAGAAGAGAAGGCTCTGGGGTGACCCCCCCAGTCATGAAAGAGCTACATGTAAGATGAGAAGAGACCATATATAAGGTCTGGAGTGACAAGGGGAAGGGAAATGGCTTCCCACTGCCACAGAGCAGGGACAGATGGGATACTGGGAAGGAATTGCTCCCTGTGAGGTGCTGAGGCACTGGCACAGGTTGCCCAGAGCAGCTGTGGCTGCTCCACCCCTGGGGGGGTTCCAGGCCAGGCTGGATGGGGTGGGCTGGAGGGAGGTGTCCCTGCCCAGATGGGACTGGATGAGCTTTGAGGTCCCTTCCAGCCCAAACCATTCTGGGATTCTGTGACCCAGGTGAGCACTGGCATGTGGGACAGCACAGATACGAGGGTTTCCGTGGCACTGCTCAAGACTGGCAGCAGCACCTTTTAGGTTTATTTTATTTCCTTCAGCTCCAGGAGCCAAGAGCCAGCAGTGCTCTCTGGCCGTGCTCTGCTTGGGGAAACCACACTCAGCATCCTGATCCCCCACAGCTGTACCAGCGGGAGCAGTGCTTCCTGCTCTGACTCCTGGCTGGAGCTGCTCAGACCTCTCAGAGGAGGCTCTGGAGGGTTAAGTGCTCCTAAACTCCTCCCTTTAGTCACTCTCCAAGAAAGCTGCCCTAATGAGGGCACAGCAGAAGCAAGGAATTATTCCCTAGCCCGCTCAGCACTTGGAGTTCTGCAGCCTGCAAGGAATTTCTCCATGCAGCTGACAGTCAGCTGGCAGTTCAGAGCACCCACCCTTGGGGGCTGGATTCTGCAGACCTGCCACAGATCACCATCTGCACAAATGCAGACACCAGCCATCCTTCTCCTTCCATTAGTGGCTGCAGTCTGTGCTCTGACACGGCACACAAGGAATGTGGGCTCTTAGCTGTGTAATCAGGTTAAGCAGGAGCCAGCAGGGCTGCCCCCCTGACCTCTCCCTGCTCAGCTGGGCAGCAGCCCCAGCCTGACATTTCCAGCTCTCTGTGCACACGCTGCTGGGAGGGACCAGGGATTCCCTGTGCAGTCCCTGTGCTCTGTCCCCAGGGCACTGCAGCAATGGCTTCTCCCCCCACTCTGGCACGGGAAGAGGTTCCCTGGCAGGCAGCACATCAGGAGCCTGAGAGGAATCACGTCTGACCTAGTGGTTCCACCAGCTGGTCCACCAGCCCCATCTTCTTCGCTTTGTCAGCACGGATGTTCCTCCCAGTCAGCATCATGTCAAAGGCAGCAGGAAGTCCCACCTGGAAGGGCAGAGAGGGATTCCACAGTGGGAACTTGCCATGAAGCAGAAGGGGCTATGGAGTAAAGGTTTTCTCTTACTTACCATCTTTGGCAGCCTCTGAGTCCCCCCAGCTCCTGGCAGGAGACCCAGTAACACTTCAGGTGTTCCCAAGACTGTTTTCTTGTCCTTTGTTGCTACTCTGTAGTGACAGGCAATGGCAACCTTAAAAAGGGAAGAGAAAACACAAGGTCTCCCTGTGAAAGACCACAGGAGAACTGGGGATCCATCTCACAGCTCTGTCCTGCACACTGCCCCAGCTCCCTGTGTGCTCCTCCCAGCAGAGGACAGCTGGCACTATGAGATGAACATCAGAGCACCAAACTGAGCCAAGCTGGTTAAACTCATCTAGACCACCAGAGGCTCCATTCATTCACCACACTGAGAGCACGGTGCCATCTCCAGACCACAGTGTGTGTAAAAAGCTGTGAGTGCCTGGGAGATCCATGCAAACTGGCAGGACTCCATCCCAAGGTTATGCTGTTGCAGTAACAGTTTGCAGAGTCTCTCAGCCCCCAGCAGTCCCACATGGAGGCTGCAATGCACACACTGGGCCCCGGTGTGGCCAAAGGCAGGGGCAGCCTGCCCAGGCCCCTCAGCCCTCTCACAACAGCCCTGTGAGGAGTGGAGGTGGCTGGAGCACAGCACTCCCTGTGTGTGAAAGCAGCACTGTCCAGCCTGGACTCCGCCAGCAGAGCCGATGCAGACACAGTGCCTGCTGCAAACAGCCACTTTGCCCAGGGACACGTGCCCAGGGACAGACTCACCTCACCTGAACAAACCCTAAGCACCAGCCTGGTCCACACAGACCCACATGTGACTTGCTCTCCCACCAGCAGCAGAACTAGCATGACAGAGCCCTGGAGCACAGCCAAGCCATTAACTACAGACTCATTTGCATGATGTAATGAACCCTCAGCAGGTCCCAGATCCCCCTCCCAGTACTGGTCCTGCAGGCATCATTTGGATAGTCAGAGAACCAGTGCTGTCAGCTCCCAGTCCTGTGGTGGGAGCCAGGATTGCCCAGTACCTCCAGTCCTCCTCCCAGGCAGCTCCCACTGATGGCAGCAACTACAGGCTTTGGAGAGTGCTCAATCTTCTCCAGCATCTTCTGTCCATCCTGAGAGAGCTGAGTCACTTCCTGAGAAGTCTTGCAGGCTTCAAGCATGCTGTGGGGAGGAGAGAAGCTGATCAGAACGGGAAAGGCACTGGGAAAACAGCAGGAAAACCAGAGGCTTCAGCGAGTTGGTGCCTCTTTTCCCACAAAGCTCCTGTGCCTGACAGGCACAAGTGCTGTTTCAGCCCACACTTGGATCAGACGACACAGGGAGACTATCAGACCCAGCAGGGTAGGGCCCTGCATGCTGCCACGGGCAGCACTGAATGGGAGCCCTTGTGTCGGGGCCCTGAGAGCCTCTGGGAGAGCAGGAAGGGTCAGAGGAAGCCTCAAAGCACTTGCCAGGAGGATGGAGGGGGAGCCCAGGATCGTTTTTGGAGGAGCAGATGGCCAGTGTTGTGATGCTGCACCCTGCCAATTAGAGACTCCCTGTGCCAATTATCCTCCTGGAGGCTCATGGTGCCTGCCAGGCAGGAGCAACGTGGGAGACTGGGGGTGCTGAGGCCAGCAGACACCTCTCAGCCACAGCCTGGGCCTTGCTCTGCTTCCCAGCTCCTCCCCACCTGCACAGCAACCAAGTCTCTGCCCCTGGACAAGGCCAGACAGAAAGGCTCTGTGTGTAACTCACCTTCTTTCCTCAGAGCCTTCTGGCTTTTCATGTCTTTAAACAATGATTCTGTCCTGCCCAGGGTAAGCACTAGGAGCCAACAGCAGTCCCACAGGATCACCCCACAGCCTGAGGGGAGCCTGGGAGGCTGCTCAGATGCCCCAGAGGGCAGAGTGCCAAATCCTGCCCGAGCAAGGGGCCAGGCTGGCAGGCACTCCAACCCAGCTCACACGAGTCCTGCATGTCAACTCTGCTCCTGTGTGTCCCAGGCCGAAGGACAATGCTCACCCCAGAGCCAGGACGGGTTTCCCTGGCTGCACTCCAGCAGGCAGGAAGGAGTGACCACGTGTTACAGCCCAGAGGGGTTTAAGGACTCTTCCCTCTTTATCAAGATCCTCATTTCATCTGAGCCAGTTTGCCACCCTGTGCAGGTGGATTCCACTCCCAACCTCCTCCTCACCCCAGGGAGAAGTCAGGGACACAGACCCTAGACACTGGGCAAAGGGAAGGTCCAGCAGCTCCCAAGGCCCCTGTGCTTACTTGAGATCTGCTCCAGCAATGAAGGAGCCTGGCTTGGAGGAGATGAGCACAGCACTCCTGACAGCTTCATTGGCCCAGATCTCGTTCATGACTTCAGTGAACTCTGCACTCAGCTGCTTGGACAGGGTGTTCACCTGGAAGCAGCAAAGCACTGTGAGCAGAGCTCAGGCTGAGCCCAGATTTGCTCCGAGTTAGCTCACCCTGTGGTCACACAAGATGAAACCCTGCAGCAGGCCACAAGCCCTCCTTGATTAGCAAGTTCCTCCTCACCTTCCCCAGCAGTGGGTTGTGACCTCAGGCACTGATTTTATGAGCTTGTAAACTGTTTTGCTCTCCTATAGAACCACAGAATAGGTTGGGTTGGGAGAGATTTTGAGGGTCATCTCCTCCAAACCCCTGCCATGGGCAGGGACATCTCCCACCAGACCAGGCTGAAGGTGTCTCTCCAGCCTCACTGCAAGGCTGCCACAAGCAGAACAAACCCACCCTGGGTGCTTAGGCACCACCAAAATCCTCATGGGCAATAGGACATTTCCAAGCTAGGACTGCTGGTGCTCCTCGGAAGGAAATAGTAGAGTAAGAAATACAAGTGTTCAGGACTGGATAATGTCAGAGCAGCTGCTTAGCTTTAAAAAGCAGTTTCTTACTGCAAGCTTTGCAATTGCTCCCCACAGTGCACAATGGATGATGCCTGAAGTTCATTACTGGGTTACCAGGCTGCATTTTTTGATGTGTTCCTTAAAGGTCACTGACAGAGGTTCCTGCCCTCCAGCACCTAAAAGCGAGCGCAGCTGTACTGGCCCCAAAACACCAAGGTTAGCTCCATTTGTACTGTATTTGTGGTAACAGAATCAGAAGCATCTCTGGAGTTCAAAGTACTGAAGTGTGGGCACACTCTTTAACCATCCTGAACCCCCGAACATAATAAAACTTAGAGGTTTCTTTAATATTTCCTTAACTTTTACTATTTCTTTATTGTTTCTTTCAGATTTCAAACTTACTATGACCTTGTGCCTGGAGGAGAGACAAGTTAGCTCAGCACACACCAAGTCCTCCATGAGGCACCTTCAGATGACTCATTAAGCACCCAAAAATCTCCTTTCCCTCTTTCTCCTTTGCCCCAGCTTTGTCATGCTGCAGGTTAGGAAAGCTCTCAGCCTGGGACTCCCCATACCTTGGAGTTCGGCGTGTTGAAGCGAACGACAGCGACATCGCCTTTGATGTCACAGCTCACGTGGGTTCTGGCTGGAAGCAAACACAAATGGGGCATCAGCTCCTGCTCAGAGCCTTGTAAGAAGTGCAACAGGGGCAGGGAAAAGCTTCCCACTTACTCTGGAGGGCAGGGGAGGTGGAGATGTTCCGACAGGCATAGCCTAAGGGAAAGACGTTGCAGAGTTAACAGGAATTCTCAGCTGAAGCCTCTGCAGTCCACTCCCCACCCAGCCTGAGTTTGTGCCTGGGATTGCTCTCACCAGGGGCAGTGCCTTGCACTTGGCCTTGTTGACCTTCATGAGGCTGGCAGAGTCCCACCCCTCCAGCCTGTGCAGGTCCCTCTGGATGGCCTGTCCCTTCCCTCCAGCGTGTGACCACACTCAGGGCTCGGTGTCGCTGGCAGCTCCCTCAGGGTGTGCTCCATGCCACTGCCCACATGCCACTGTCCCTGACAAACCCGATCCCAACCCCTGAGGGAACATTCCTCGTCACTGCTCTCCACTTGGACGTGGAGCTGTTGACCACAACTCTTCGAGGGTGAGCACCCAGCCAATTCCTTATGCTCTGAGTGATCCACCCCTCAGATCTCTCCAGTTCACAGACCTGGATGTCATGTGGGGCAGTGCACAGCTCCAGGCAGGTGACTCAGTCCCTCCCCCACCAACACCATCTCAGGACACCACACGTCAGGCACAACTTGCCCTTAGTGAAGCCACACTGGCTGTCACCAGCACCTCCTTGTTTTCCACACGCCTTAGCACAGATTCCACAAGGATGTGCTCCATGATCTTTCCAGGCACTGAGGTGAGACTGATAGGACCTGTAGCTGATCCATCCCTAAGGCCATTTAGAAGAGCCCAAACATGTCATGTTTCAGAGCTCTCAGAAAACTTGGATCATGGGATGAACAAGTTCTGCCCACAACTTTCTGACTCATAGATCTCCTTTTCCTGCTCAGAAACTGTGCTCGGCCTGGGATCCCTCAGCTCAGGAGTGAACCCAGCTCCATTCCACTGATGGATCTTGACCCAGAGGATCCCCACACACAGATCCAGGCTGAGTCCCTGCCAGAGCTGCTCCAAGTCTGAAATCCAGTAAAAAAGTCACTTCCGAAGCTCCACACTCACACAACAGCTGTCACCCAGCCAGGCAGCCAGGGGAGGCCTCTGCTGATTAAATGTTTAGGAATGGTACATTCCCATTCCCAGCAGCAAGAAGGCAGAAAAATCCAGCACAGCGAAAATGAGCTGAAAAGCTCATCCTGTGCCTCCCCAACAGGTGGTTCCCCCTGCCACAGCCCTGTGACACTGCTCAGGGCTGGAGCTCCCCTGCCCTTTGCCCCATTTCCACCTCATCCCCCGTGCTGGCAGCAGGGACTGCCCTTTGCTCCCATTCCTGAGCCCGGGATACAGGGTGTGATGCCGTGGGGATGGAAATTCAGCGTCAGGCTGTCCCAGCAAACAGGTCTGGGGGGTGTGTGGGTGTGTCATGTGCCCACAGCAGCATTTTACAAACACAGAGTGAACTGGTTTCCACTCCAAAGCTGCTCAGGAGCATTTCGTAGCCACGCCGACACTGCTAAGCCACGTTCACTTCCCTGAGCTTTCCATGTGCTCAGCTCAGGCACTCCTGAAAATAAGCACCACGGTTCAATTCCCACATACCCATGTGTGGCCTGACAGCAATTCCTCTGCTGGGAGATGCTCCTCCGCAGCATTTTAACCCAACAACAGCCACAGCCTCGTTATAAACAAGGCAAGGGCTGAACTCTCTCTCTGAATCCATTCACTCCATCCCTGGAGCAACCTGGGCTAGTGGGAGGTGTCCCTGCCCATGGCAGGGGGTGCAATGAGATGAGCTTTAAGGTCCTTCCAACCCAAAGCATTCCATGATTGTCTAAGTTTTTTCTCTTTCTATGGCTTTCCTCTACCCTATCAGTTTCCAAAAGATTTATTCCATGAAAACCTTAAGCCTTGAATTCCACTTTCTGTTCCAGCACAACAAAAATTAAGATGTAAGAAAGCAGAAGAACCAACGGCATGACTGGACAAATCTCCCTACATTTGGACACAAACTCCTTTGGGAAAGGCACTACCAGCAGAGTAACAGCTGCTGAATATTCCAGAGGTTTCTCCAGCCTCACAGTGGTTTATTTCAGAGCCCAGAATATTTGTGGGAAACATCTCTCACCTCTGAAACTAAACAGAGCTCCTTGTTCACAGTCACTGCACATCTGCCTTGGCCATTGATCCACCACAGCGGGAACTGGAGCCAGAAAGATCCTCCTCCAAGATGCTGCAGGAAGCAGCAGCCCTGGTGCACACTCCCACCACATCCTACTCTTCATCCCACAGCTAAAGCCTTGAGAACCCATCCCAGTCTCACTCCTCCGCTCACTCCAACTCACAGACTGTCTAAACACCAGGACACCAACACTTCAGCTCCCCTCAAGACTCTGCCAAGCACTTGGATGCAGCAGAGAACTGACAACACTCCATTTCACAGTCCAGCCAGGACCTGCTCCTTCCCACAGCCCTGCCAGGACCTGCTCCTTGACACTTTCTCTTTCCTTTGTCATTTCCTTGGCTGTTTCCCTGCCCAGCATTTACCCTTTCAGCCCTTCCACTCACCCGGACGTGACACACCACTGGAACTGGGAGCAGCATCCATGGGTGATGGCTCAGGGAAAATCCTTGTTCCAGTGCTGGAGCAGCCCAAGGCCCAGCAGGACACTGGGATGGAGCTCAGAACACCTGCCCAGGCCTTCAGCCTGTCCCTGAGAGCTGAGCACAGAGCTGTGACCCACGAGATGGGAAGCTCCTGACAGACTGAGCTCTCCTCTCTGCTCTGGGAATGTGCTGGGACACACATGTGGCTCAGCAGGTACAGCCAGCCCTGGAGCTCACCCGTCTCCTGCTGCTCCAGGCCTGCCCTGGAGGGGTCTGCACCCCAAACACTTCGTTAGGCACAACAAGGGTATTAATTATGGCAGTGAGAGCGTCCTCAGAGCAGCTCCAGGGCTGCTGGTGAAGAGGTTTTGCCAGTTACAACAAGAATTCCAACCAGTAACAGCCTGGGAACTCCCTGCAGTTGCCACAGGTCTGATCAGGGACTGCAGCTCCCTGTCACGTAGCAGCTCACCCCAAGGCTGCACCTTGTTACCACAGCTGTGGAATTGTTCAGGTTGGAAAAGAGCTTCCAGAGCACTGAGTCCAACGGTTAACTCTGCACTTCTGAGGTTTGAGTTTGAGCAAAATGCTGATGGATTTCAAGTCAACATTCACAGCAAACCACCAGACCTTTCAAAGTGCTGAAACAACTGGTTCCCAGTGGCTCCCAGACTGGTCCTCTGGCATTCCCAGGGCTCCTGGGGATTCCCTGCCTTGGTAGCTCTGCCAGGAAGCACTGACCCAGCACGTGCACAAGCAGGACAGCAACAGAGCCCTGCGTGGGCCAGCAGAGCACAAGGGATCTGATACCAAAATCATGGAATGGTTTGTGTGGGAAAAGACCTCAAAGCCCATCCAGTTCCTCTGCCATGGGCAGGGACACCTCCCACCAGCCCAGGCTGCTCCAAGCCCCATCCAGCCTGGCCTGGAACACTCCCAGGGATGGAGCAGCCACAGCTGCTCTGGACACCCTGTGCCAGAGACTCAGCACCGCACAGGGAGCAATTCCTGCCCAATATCCACCTGACCCTGCCCTCTGGCAGTGGAAAGTCATTCCCTGTGTCCTGTCCCTCCAGGCCTTGTCCCAGGCCCCTCTGCAGCATTCCTGGAGCCCCTTGAAGCACTGGAAGAGGCTTCAAGGCCTCCATGGAGCTTCACTTCTCCAGGCTGGACAATCCCAATCTCTCAGCTGTGAGACCATGGAGCACCTGGAGACACCTCCCCACCCCATCAGGACACAGGGACACCCCTTCCCATGGATACACCTCCTGGAGAGCAGCCACAGGATCCAGACACCCGAGGACATGGGACATCCTCTTCTTTCCAAGCACACACACGGGGACACTGGGGACAGGCCATGTGTTAGGACACAAGGACACTCTCTCCCTGTGGATCAGCTCACGTGCCAAGGACACTCCTGCCTGGAGTGCCTGTCCACACCTCAGTGCAGGGTCACAGGGACCCCCTGAGCTGCACATGGCTCCCCAAAGTATGTCCATGTACAAGGACACAGAGATGGTGGCTAGGCAAGGGCCAGTCTGCCATGGCGACTGCCACAGCAGCACGTGCCCCATGGGGACATCCCCCCTGCCCCTCATGGGTCCCAGAACACAGAGGGACAGACTCCTGCCCTGGGGAAACCCTGAGGGGGGTGTGGGGACACGCCAGGGATCTCCCTGTGTGATTCACAGGCCAAGGGACAAATCCCTCCCATGAAGAACAGACACACGTAGGGACACCCCTGAGGGGACACCTCCTGTCCCACAGACTCTTCCCTGGGACACTCTGCTTCCCACAGCCCCCACACCACACACAGACCCCCTTGGTGACACCCTGACACCTCTCACCCTCTGACACCTGCAGTCACAGTGCCCAGAGCCCACCCACTGTCACACTGACACCCCAATCCCCTGACACCTGCAGTCACAGTGCCCAGAGACCACCCAGTGTCACACTGACACCCCAATCCCCTGACACCTGCAGTCACAGTGCCCAGAGACTTGTCCCACTGCCCAGAGACCACCCAGTGTCACACTGACACCCCAATCCCCTGACACCTGCAGTCACAGTGCCCAGAGACACCCTCAGTGTCACACTGACACTCCCAACCTCCAGCACTCCCTATCCTGACACCCATGGCCACAACACCCAGTGACCCGCTCTGCGACACTCCCCCTCCCCCTGCCCCTCGTGGTTACACTGCCTGGAGATTCCCTCGGTGTCCCC